TTGGCCAATAACTCTTCACCTTTCGGGGGCAATAGCCCCCAACACAAAGTCCATCCTCCCCCGAGCAGAGCCTGACCATGCCCAGGGTCCACCTTCTTCCCCCAGGGATCAGACCAGCAACTCCGCCCCATGCAGGCCGGGCTAGACCTGGTTGTCCAGCCGAATCCTTTTCCTTGCAAGTTGGTCAATGGGATGTGACAATGAGGGCTGGGGGGCCACTGGGATCCTCTCCTGGCTCCCATGCGTGTACAGGAAGGTGTGGAGCTTTGAGGTACCTCCATCTTGCGATCAGAGAGGAGCAGGTTGAAGAGGCCAATGTGAGCAGGACGGCAGAGGACAGTGGAGAGAGCCTGGGTCCTTGCAGACTCCCACTTGTCATTGCGTGAATCAACTTTCTTCACCATGAAGCCATCCTACGGCAGGTTTTGTTACTTGTACCCAAATCCACATAGACCCTTTGAGAATCTGGTAAAAATGCTGAAGCTTCTCTTGGGAGAAAGGCTGAAATTCAGAGTAGTGATCACGGTAGGGCATTCCTGGCCTCCCAGGGCCACCCACGTCCACAACCCATTGGCACTCCTGGCTGTCTCTGTGATGCTGGGTCCTGCAGGGGGCAGGTTGGTTTGGTTCTGAGCAGCACACCCAGCTGCAGGCAGAAGGCAGGATGGGGGGGAGGGGGGTGGCCTGTAGTCCCTGGAGACAGCCCTGCTTTCTCTCCCATCAGAAACTCCAAGTGCCCAGTGAGCGTAGTGTGGGGACCGGGCGGTGAGAGCTGGCTGGTCTTGTTTATTTTCTTCAAGGACAGGCGGGTCAATGGGCTCCCGCCCCACCCCTCAGGTTTGGATCTCTGCTCTCCAGGGAGTGGGTCTGCTGGCTGACAGGCAGGTCTGGTTGGGGGAATGTGGTGGGCGCCAAGCTGGCAGTACTAACAGTCCCAGGTTTTATCACTCCCTTTATTCTCCAGATACTCTGGGGTCCTACCCAGGAAAAAAGATTGAGAGGATTCTGGAACAAAGGCAGAGGCCAAGTGGATGTCAGATTGTGGCTGGCTCCATCCGAGCCTGGTCAGGGGCCAGCTCTGAGCCTTGAGATGGGGACCAACCTCGGAGGATCTGGCTTTCACTCCAGGGGGCCCAGGGGTAAAGGTGGAGACAGCGGGGGCCTTAAACCCCAGCCCCCCAACCCCACCCCCAGCAGGTACCAACTGTGTCTCAAACTGTTCATCTGCTGTGTGGTTCTGGGACGGCTGAGTTCAGCAGACTCTGGAATCTCATTCTGGGCTCATTTTACTTTCCTTATTATGGTCCTGATTTTTAAAAATTGTTTTTAAAAATGTTTCTATTGATTTTAGAGAGGAAGGGAGAGGGAGAGAGATAGAAACATCAATGATGAGAATCATCAATCGGCTGCCTCCTGCACACCCCCAACTGGGGATCAAGCCTGAAACCCGGGCATGTGACCTGACCGGGAATCAGACCGTGACCTCCTGGTTCACACGTCGGTGCTCAACCACTGAGCCACACGTGCCAGGCAAGGTCCTCATTTTTGAACACAGTCTGCAAGCAGCAGCAACAACAAAGTGGAAGTTACCCTGGAACCCACTTTGAAACATCTGGAGACTGAGGGCTTGTCAGCAGCACCTGGATGCAGGGCCTGACCTCGTGTGCTTCACACAAGCACTTACTGAGGTGCCTCAAAAAAGCAGGTTTGATCCTGCTTTAAAAACATGAATTGCAATGGCTTACATGCAAGTCAAATCTACTGATAAAGCAAGTTACATTCCGATGAGACTCACATCAAATTTCGCCTCTTGGACCCAGATGTATTTCACAAGATGTTTCAATATGTTTTCAGTCCTAATTATACATCTTCAGTAAAAAAAAAAAAAAAGCCTCACCGTGGCCTTATAGACTACAGATGCCTCTCACGGTCCATGTCCAAGTCTCTCCGTGTAAACGATGGCTGACATTCAGCCAGGAACTTTTAAATTATGAGAATAAATTATGACCCAAACTTACTCTTCTTAATGACATGTATAAAGTTCAACTCTTTAATAAAAGAATTCAGGAATAGGAACACAGTTTCCAGCAATATTAAGAAAATAAAGGTCCCTCAAAATAGTCATTTCCTGTTTTGATTAAGTTCTGCATTTTTAATATAGTTGGTATAAAATGAAACTCTTAAAAAGAAAAAAAAACACACGTAGGAATTTAAAATAAAGTGGAATATCCTATTTTCAGGGTCACCAGTACCATGGTGAGATCTGTCTCTTAAACAATGACACTTAGTCTCTGTGTAGCTCCATGAATACTTTTGAAGTGTCATATTAAAACCAATCTCGTGGCCTTGAGGCAAAGAGAAGCAATTAGTCTTGGAGTTGTGAATAAATAAAAATCCATTTATACACCCGTCCTTGACATGTACCTTGCAAATCTTAGAAACTTCATCTAGTGGGAAAAGAAATGTTAAATCATGAATACCAATACTAATCACATTGCCATGTGGCTTCCTAAAATAGTTTAGTTCATACCAATCTTTTAAGTATTAATTTATATGTATATATTCATCCATATTGAATACAAAACAAAAAAGCTCTAGCAGCACCTAGAGGGGGAGACAGGAGTGAGGGGCGCTGGGGGCCACAAGGGCCACGACAAGGTTTTCAGTGGGTCTGTGCATCTCAAACATAAGCGTGGTGCGTTTTTTGCATTGGCTCCTCCCCCCCCCCCCCCCAAGCAGTTAAAGGACTGGGAAGGGGTAAGGTTCTGTCCCTTCAAAAGTTTGGGGTGCCTACAATGCCCTCCTTCATTTGTGATCCTAGCCATCATTTAAGGGAGGATTCCGGAGGTCAAAGTATTGCTTCACTTCTTATTTGGGTCCATTTCTTCGTGCCGGGTGGGGTGTGTGTAAATGGGGGCTTTGTTATCCCTTGGCCTTGTGCAGTGCTGAAGCGACTAGGGGTGTCAGCCACGGCGCAGAGCAGACCTGCTGGGCCTGGCCTGGCTGGGGTGCGGAGAGCAGAAGAGGGGTGCTGTCGGGCAGGAGCTGGGAGCCCAAAGCCATCGGCGCCAGTGTGAGGGGAGCAGAGTGGGCAGTCCGTAGGTTCGGCTGGAGCCGCTGCACAGATCCCTGACCTACTTCCACCGCCCCTTTCTGTTCTAGGAGCAGCTAAAAATCCATAAATTAAGGATATTAACTGATGGGGCCTGCGGCATTCTTATAAGCTATTTAAATCTATAAATTTACAACATCTTCTGCATATATCAAGTAATTGAACTAACTGCAGGGATGTAACTTTAATGAGAAAATTTCCCCCTTCTCCTGTAGTTCAAGCTCTAAAATAAGTAAATAAATAAATAAATAACATCTTCCCCCTAGGAGGAAAGTTTCTGCTTATTCCCGCGTGGAGAAGTTACAGCACCGCGGTCCCGGGCGCTCTTTCCACGCGCGAGATCCCCTAGTCAAGAGAAGCAGGCCTCCCACTTCGTCCACCTCCTACAAGCGCCCGCCCCTTCCCCCCCCACCGTACCCCACCCCCCCGCCCCCCGCCCCCCGCTCCACACACACACTGCCAACCCCTAGTGCCCCCAGTGAGTGAGGCCGCTAGAGGGCGCCCAGGTACGGCTGGAACTCGGGGTGGGGACCCCGGCGGCGCTCCGAGACCCAGCGCACCCACCCACCCTCCCTCCAGCACCAGCCTGCTCAGGCCCTGGCGTCCCAGGAGCCAGACGCGGAGTGCAATGCAGGCCCAGCGCACCCGCGGCTCCGCGCTCCGTTTCCTAGGAGCCGGGAAATGGTCCAAGGGTGTGGGGGACGGGCGGGGCGCCAGGGAAAACGGAGGAAGGGAAAAAGGAGGGTAGGATAGGAGGAAGAAGGGGCAGGCGGCGCGGGGACCTGGGAGGGACGCCCCGGGCGCTGGCCTGAGCGCCGTGGGGTGTCTTGACTGCAGACGTTTCCAACACGCCGCGCGCGGAGAGGAAATGGCGCGTCTGGCCCGGGGCGCCCCCCGCGCGCCCCTCCCCCGCGGTGGCTAACCGCGTGTCCGTAGACGTCACGGGCGGCTCTGCTCCACGGGAGAGGGGCGGTCCGGGCAGAGACCAGGCGAGGAAGGCCGGGGAGGGGGAGGGGTGGACTTGGCCCCCGGCTCCGCTCCAGCCCTGGCCGACTCGCAGCCCAGTTTCTTCCCAAGTCCCGCCCCTGGCCCCGGGCGCCGTGGCGGCGGCAGCTCTCCTCTTTGTAACCGAGGAGTCAAGAAATGTGAGAAACGTGCCCTGTGTTACTTATTTGGGAGCCGAAAATTTATGCCCAGCTGAAAGCGCCCGGGGAAATATTACATCAGATGAAATGACAATGATTAAAATCAGCTTCTCCCCCGCCCCCTTCTGAGCCCAGAGGAGGCCCGGGCGCCGCGTGGCCGGTCGGCGGGGGGCGGGGGACTGGGCAGCGGAGGGCGCGGGGGCCTGGGTGCACTGCTCCCGGGAGGGTGCTGGCGGGGGCCCCGGCGGGATCGCCCGGGTTCCGGGAGGCGGGTGGGAATCGCCCGACGAAAGGAGGGGAAACAGTGCATCTCTGTCGCCGAGCGCGGCAGGCGCGGGCGCGCGGAGCTAATTGCGACTCTAATCCTCTGCCCCGCGGCGCAGCCGAGCCCCGAGCCAGGAGTCGCCGCGCGCTCCCGCTCGCGCTCGCCGCGCCGGGTAATTTGGACCCGAATCCTTGCCCTTTGCGTCCAGGCTCTGCCGCCACGGGGCTCGGGCCACGGGCTGGGGCGTGGGGCTGGTTTTCTCGCCAGCAATCGGGGGAAGGCCGCTGGAGAGGAGGGAGGAAAGGAGGTGGGAGCGGCGGGAGGGCAGCCGGAGAGCGGCGCGAAGAGGAGGAGGCGGTGGCGGCGGCCGCGAGGAGGGGAGGAGGCGAGGGGAGGGCGGGGTGGGGAGGCCCCGGCGCGCCGCGCCGCGAGGGGCCGCGCGAAGCGGGGGCCGGGGCGGGAGGGGTGGGTGGGGGGGAGGGTTGGGGGCGAGAGAGAAAGTAACTCCAGGACGAGACCGGAGCGACCCGCGCAGCGAGCACAGGCGGCGAGGCTGCGCCAGGCGCTCGAGACCGGCGGCTGCGGGGGGCGGGGGCTGTGCCCGAGCCCGATCCCCCGCTCCGGCTCCGAGGTAAGCCCCGCGAGGGCGGCCACCGCTCTGCACTATGCACCCCTGTCCCCAAAGTGGCCGCGATACTGAGAAAGTCGGGATTCATACTTGGGCGGGGGCGGCTGCTTTGTCCCGGTGCTGGGCGGCGGGGGCACCCAGCACAAAGGCCTGGCGCGGGAGGGGTGATTGCCCACGTGGGCTGGTCCTGGCCCAGGGTAGACCCTCCCCACGCGGGCGGGCTCGGCGCTTCCTGCAGCTCGGGGCGGGCGGGGGGGGTGGGGCGGGTTCAGGCCCCAGCACTGGAGCCCCAGTTGCAGGGCCGGTGAGTTTCCGGGGTCAAAACTGGGCTCACGCAGCTGGGGCTTTGGGGCGGACGGGGCTCGGCTTGGCGCTCAAATCAGAGCGAGAAAAAGTCTCTAACGGGACAGATGTGCGTCCTCTGACGCCTACCCCGTGAGTGCGAAATGGGGCGGGAGGGGTCGGCGCGCTGCTGGTCGTCCCAGGCGCGCAGGGTTTGAGGCTCCGGGGCGGCCGCGCGGATACGCGATCGCCGCCCCCGGGTCTCTGCTGCCCGCCTGGACGCGCGCACCGGACACACTCCCAAACATCCCTTCTTCCGTATCCAAGCGCCTTTAGGTCTTCCCGCGCCCCCCACCCCGACTGCAGAAAGATAAGCTTCAAGTTTTCACTCCCTCAAATGTGCATGAAGGAATTTAACTGCGTTGAATAACAGCATTAGTTTCAATTAATTTTTTTAATCCCGCCAACAATAAACTTTGAGAACAAAAGCGCTTTTACGTCCTTAATTAGGCAAGCTTCCCATCTGTGGTCTCCAAGTGTCTGCTTCTTGATTTAACTTTGTCCTCCGCCCCCGCCACACACCCCTCCCCACCCTGCCAGGCTCTTCGGGTTCCGTGGCCGCCCCCGCCCCGCGGCGCTGCGGGCCTGGGCCCAGCCGGCTCCAGGCTCCCTGAAGTTCACACCGGCCGGCGGCCTTCGCGGCGGGGCTGGCGCGCACCAGGTGGCTCGCGGGCCTCGCTCCCGGCCCACCCCCCGGGCAATCTCGCCCCGGGCTAGCGCCCAGGGCGCAGAGCTGAAGAAAATTAGGGAGGCGCCTTCTGTTTACCTTTTATGGCTAAAATAACAGCTTAGCAAAGAAGCGACTTCACGAAGAAGCGATTTAGTGAAATCGTCTCAAGCTGCCGCAGCTCAGCCAGTTTAATCACCCCCAGAGAGCTGAACAACTGCGAGCACAATGGGACACAAAATCATTTTGTGTGTAAATGAGCGTGGCATTCTGCTCGCTTCCCCCTGCTCGGGCGGGCGGGGCTCGGCGGTGGTGGGCGGGCGCGGGTCTGGGGCTCCCGCCGCAGCTCCCAGAAGCGGGTCAATACCCAGCCAGTTTGGAAACCCGTGGGCCCTGCAACAGGCTGTTTGGCCAGCCTCGGGAGGGCTGGGTGTTGGGGCCGGGTCATGGGTTTGATGCTGATGTTGGCAGGAATGAGCTTGTGTCTTACTGCACTCACTTTATGCTTCTGACCTCAGCAGTGGTCTCGGAGAAAGGGTCGTTGTCCAGCACAGATGCGTTGGTCAGAGGGAGCACTGGAGGTTCTGGTCAAGGCGTAAAGCCTGGGGCTTCCAATGGTGAGTTTCCGGTTTGCTGTGAACCGCAGGTTGTGCTTGGGAAGGAGGCTGGGTGAGAATGGCAGGGGCAGCTTTTGTGATGGGTGCTTGGTGTTAAATGTCACTTTTGAGCAGTGTCCTGGCAGTAGGGAAAACGGTGCAGTTGCTTTGATAGAATGAAGATCCATCAGAATTCCTTCCAGCACAGTTTGTCCTCCGCGTGGCTTTCCTTCTGACTCCTCAACCAGCAGAGCCTCCTACCGCAGGACAGCCCATTCTGGAGATCTGTTTTGGTTTCTCAGAACTTCCTTGAGATTAGTGATCTGCTTTTTAAAAAGCTAACTGGAACTCAGGAATGCCAAAAGCAGCAGCCCCGGACAGCACCCCCAGTGAGGGTATAAATTAAACCTCTCTGTTCCCTAATAGCACCTCCACCCCACCCTGGTTCCTGTCAAGGAACTTGCCAGGACCAGGACAGAGTAACCTTACTTAAAATTTGCACGATCTGATGCTCCTTGGACCTTGGTCCATATTTCAAAATTGGATGTTGAATTTCAAGGCACAAAGTCAACCCTTAGGGGAGATTGCACCCTCATTTAAACCAGCAAGAGACAAGTCCGGGTTAGGCTTGTGGAAGCCAGTGGTGAGGGTGGTAGTCACTGTGAATGCCCTCCTCCCAGCCCCGTGAGATTGGAAAGGGCTGCATAAGCCTGCTCTTCTCCACCCTCCTCGCAGGTTCTGTCAGTGCCCTGGAGTGGCTGCTAGCGACTGAGGAACAATTTTTTTCAGGTGACTGTGGAGCAGAGGAAAGGTGCTAAGTGGCCATGGGGAGGAGCAGGAGATGGGGTCCATTTGCTGAGCCACTGTGGATTTTTCTGGCCAGCTCTCTGATGCCTTGGGGGGGCAAGGGGGGGCGGTAATCATCCCAAGGGGCCTGAAGCACAGACAAGACCATCTGGGGGTCTGAGAGGTCCTGAGCTCCCCATCTCATAGAGGGTGCGGGATCCTCCCTGCACAGTGGTCCACAGGGTTCTCTGTTGATGCAAGAGGAGACACGCTTGGTAACATGGCTCTAAACCAAAATACCGGGAAAATCAGATTTGTTCTGAAACATTTTGGGCAATTACGGTGAGCATATGTTTCAGTATTGTCATTAGCTGAGTTAGCAGACATGGTGCTCTCAGAAAACACATGTGAGAGAGTGTGTGTGTGTGTGTGTGTGTGTGTGTGTGTGTGAGTGAGAGAGAGAAGTGATTTGCTATGGCCTGAATGCATCCTTTGGGGTATGGGGATAGAATAGCAGTGGGTGGAATCTGGAGAACACTGTAGTAGGCATGGGGTCCAGGAGAGCATGTGCAGAAAGGACGACTCGAAGTGTCTTTGACTCCATTTGCTGAGCCACGGCGCCCATAACCTTTGAGGAGTAAGCCCTCTGGTCTGTCGGTGCTTCCCAGATACTCCGGGCAGTGATGGAAGCCTAGATGCCTCACCGCAAGGAGCGACCGAGCGGGTCCTCGCTTCACGCCCAAGGCAGCGCCGGAACGGAGGTGAGAGCCAGAGGGTGGGCTGGTCAGCATGGGGTCGCCTCTTTGCCCTCTTCCCGAGTGCGTGCTCACTGGCTGGCCTGGCTGCCCCTCCTCGTAGCTGCAGCATTCAAGAGATGGCTGTTGACTGACTATAGGATTATGTATTTTTTGAAACAAAAATGCTCTTAATTTGATGTGAAATTTACTACATGTATAAAACTCAACGCCTTGGGTGCTGAGGAAGTCACTAATTTAGAGGTGTCTCGTTACTGAGACAAACTTGCAAAAACCCCTGAATCCCAATTCACAAATTGGTGATTCGTTTGTCAGGGGATATTTCACATCTAACACATAAGCCCACGACCTTTAATTAGAATTTTGCAGTTTGTTTTATGCCCCTGGAGGCTGACACCTTGAAATTTTTTTTTCTTGATTTCTTATTGCTAATAAGCATCTTTCTTTCTCCCTCTGGTCCTTTGAAGAGAATGATGCAAATACACTTAATTACAGTGGTGGCCATAATTTGTCAGCTGAATATGTGATCAGGCACAGGCGAAGTGATCTGATTAGATCTGTGATCACATTGGTAACAAAGGGAATACACAGCTCTGTTGGGAAGAAACCCCTGTTTCTGCCTTGTTTCCATCTCCAGGAGGGAGGAAGCATGTCCCGGTTGTCTCTCACCCGGTCACCCGTGTCTCCCCTGGCTGCCCAGGGGATCCCACTGCCAGCCCAGCTCACCAAGTCCAATGCACCTGTGCACATCGACGTGGGCGGCCACATGTATACCAGCAGCCTGGCCACGCTCACCAAGTACCCCGACTCCAGGTAAGAACCGAGCCCCTTGTACTACCAGGTGTATGACGATGACTGGCAGCATCTGCAGCCTGCTACCACTGATGTCTGCCTCCTCTGCCAGCCAACCTGCAGGGCTCTGCAGCCCCCCTGCTCCCCGCCGCCCCCACAACTCTCACTGCCCCGGGGAACTAGGGTTTGCACAGGGACTTGTGACCCTTAGCTGGCTGCATTGATAGTGCTAGGAGGAGCTTCTGACCCACTGGCAAGAGCCACTTATTCAGAGCCAATCCTACCTGAAGCTGGCCAGCAGCTGGCTGGGGGATCTGACATGCCTTTAGGTTCCTTTTGAGTGGGACATAGGCCTGGCCTTTGCAGGGGGTCATTTGTGAGCAATGCTGTGTACTTCTTGGGGTCGTGTATTTAATTCTGCTCCTGATTCTAACCCTTGGGAAATCGCATAGGCGGGGGAGGAGAGGAAGCTACAATTTGCCATCTTTGTTGGTGTGGCTACTGCTGGACCCTGAGGGCTAGCAGCAGGCTCCCTGTGGCAGAGGGTGGGGGTGGTGCGGTAGCTGCTGTGGAGAAGCAGAAGCCTCATGCTCCATCAGCAAATGGACCCTGGACCCTCTCTGACCAGGACCCTTCCAACCTGCGCCTCGCACTCTGCAGAGCTCCCTGGTATTCCTGCCTTGTGGGCCCATCTGGGCAGTGCTGGGAGACCAGGGAGGCGCTGGGCGCTGCCCATTCCTGCTTTTGCCTCTTGGGCATTTTCCTCCCAGGGGCAGCAGGGCTGACCCGAGCTGGGGTGAGTCCCCGTGAAGCTGTCCAGGAGGTGATGTGGAGCGCTGCTAGCTGAGCCCCCAACTGCTTGCTCCTGGCGCAGTGAGGCAGTTGCTGCTGAGGGCTGAGCAGCAGGAGGGCCAACGCTACGGGCACCACCCGTTTTATACGGTTAAAATAGCAAGAGGAGTTAATTAATCCCCCAGACACCCAGGGATCATCTCTGGGAAGCTTGCTAGTCAGGCTGCCTTGTCAGTATGGTTGCTCAGAGCACAGAGGAGTCCTAGTGTGTGGAGGTGGCTGTTAGGGTGGCTGGTATGGGGCCAGGGTGGAGCCCTCCATGGGGCTGAGGTGCTCACTCGAGGAGGGATCTTTGGGGTGGATGCAGGGTCAAGTTTGGAATCTGGGGATCCTGGGGGACAGATGGTGGTTGAGGCTTCATTTTCTTTGCCCAAAAGAGGCTAGGCCTGGGGCACTTGTGCACTTGGGCCGTGGGGGTAGGGGCAGGCGTCAGCTATGAGGCCACGTCGGCAGTGTTGGCCTGTGCACTGGCTTGCAGAGCCCTGTCTAGAACAGGAGATGGATTCAGTTTATTTAATTTCAATTTTTCCCTCTGTGGCATTCTTGAGTTGTTTGAGATAGATCACCCCTTAATTGGTTGACGACGTTTGTGAGTGAAATTCATAAAACCCTTGCCCACAGCCTCTCTGAAGAGAGTTTCCTGAAATCAGACACTTGCCCTTCTGGAGTAATCTCAGCCCAGGCCCACAGGGAATGGCCTCCTCATTCTTGTGTCCAGGCTGCTACCTGGGAGCCATGAGGGCGGGGGGGTGCCCTCCTCGCCGGGCCCACACTGCAGCTTGTCCTTGCCCCGGGGTCCTGCTCTGAGGTGGGGTGGGCCCACTGGCCGAGGAGCTGGTGTCCCTGGGGCTCCTGGGCTGCTGGATGTACCCAGAGGAGGTGGTAGTTGCATTCTTCCCTGAGGCTGGGCTCAGGATGAATCCGCTGTTCTGTCTGATGGTTTCTGGCTTACTGGCGACCTGCTTCCCTAGCCGGAAGCTTTGGCTTGGAGGCCAGGGGAACCTGTAGGACAGCCAGGGGACAGTGGGTCAGGCAGCTGTGCTGCCAAGGGCCCCTCAGATCCCTCTCATCCCTCTTTGAGTGACTCATTAAAATAACGATTTTTCATCAATTCTGGAAACCAAGAGCAATCCCTTACCCAGCATCGCTTTGTGAGTCACCTGGAAATGGAGGACTAAAAGTATTAAGGTCCCCTGGGGAGTTTCAGCGTCAAAGTGCTAGAGTCCCGTCCTGGGCAGTGCTGGAGACCAGGGACCCGTGCCCCAGGCCCTCAGGTCCCGGGGCTACAGAGCGATGCCTGGGCTTCTGAGTCTTGGCTGGTGGGGGTGGTGCTGACACAGGAACAGGTGCCACCACTGATTGGCCCCAGAACAGCTGTCAGTCAGTCATTGCTCAGAGGCAGCGGAACAGAGACTCCCTGGGGCTGACACCCTGCTCCTGCCTGTCTGCTGGGCATTGTTTAGCTGCTGCCATTGCAGCCTGACTCGCAGCCCTCCTGGCTGTGGGAAGCAGCAAACGGAGATGTCCACGAGGTTCAGAACTAATAAAACCTCCCCCTGAAACATTGAGGAAATTGGAACCAAAGCTTAAAAAAATAAAGAGAAGATCCCTGTCAGCTGGGGTCAGAACGACCAGTCCATACCATGGAGAGCCTCTGAGGTTGGCACGCAAACCCTGACGCCTCCCTCGGAGGGTGGCCCGGGGCAGGAGCTGACTCTTAAGCCCCTGTATGTGTCTGCTGCTCCTTTATGGTGACTGACCTAACCTTCCCTCAACCTACTCACATTCTTGGTAGCCTCAGACCCCAAGGGCATGAAAGCCTTGGTCCTGTGAAGATACAGTGAGTCACAGAAAGATCTAGAACCAGCCAGTCCTGAAATAAGACAGATTAAGCACCTTGTAGTCTTGGGCCAATGAGCAACCTGGAACCCAGTCAGCCCCAGAATTGGGTGGGTTCCGAGTCCTGTGGACTGACAGGATGGTCTGGAGCCCCAGCCAGCCCTGACACCAGAGGGACCGGCCACGCAGCCAAACCTAGAACGTTGCTGGCTGCACAGAGGGTGTGAGCTCAGCCAGGAAGGGTGGAGTAGGTTCCATGGGGCTTAGGAATGGTTGGCTCATCTATGCATGTGGCTTTCACTTCTGTCTGCTGATGCCATGAGGAGGCCCTCGGCTGTCCCATCTATTTCCAGTGATGCTGGGTGGCCCTCAGTCTGACATTTGAATACCCAAGCTCTGCTGAGGCCAGGTGTTGGGGCTTAGACAGTTGGGACAGGCCATGGAGCCCACAAGGCTTTCCAGTGGGGCCATGTCCCCCAGTACCGTTGTCACCAGGCCTAGGGGGGTTGATAGGGCCCGGTGGCCTGTGGAGCCCTGAGATGAGTTATATCTGGGTGACGGCAGCGCTGGTTCCACAGGCTGGGGCCTCTCCACGCCTCACCGCAGGCTCTGACCTGCTTGTGCCCATCCATGAAGGCAGTCTTGCCCTTTTATTTTCTTGAGATATTTTTATTGATTTCAGAGTGGAAGGTAGAGGGAAAGAGATAGAAACATCAATGATGAGTGCAAATCATTGATCAGCTGCCTCCTGCATGCACCCTACTGGGGGTTGAGCCCACAACTCAGGCATGTGTCCTGACCGGGAATCTAACCGTGACCTCCCGAGTTCATAGGTCGACGCTCATCCACTGAACCACGCCAGCCTGGCAGCCTTGGCCTTTTATACCAGCGGTTCTCAACCTGTGGGTCGCGACCCCTTTGGCGGTTGAACGACCCTTTCACAGGGGTCGCCTGAGACCATCCTGCATATCAGACATTCACATTACGATTCATAACAGTAGCAACATTACAGTTATGAAGTAGCAACGAAAATAATTTTATGGTTGGGTCCCAACATGAGGACCTGTATTTAAAGGACCAAAAGGTTGAGAACCACTGTTTAGCCCACTGGAACGGCCTGGGCTACTCTACACCTGGGCAGACCCTCATAGCTGATGCCTGAATGTGCCAGGCCACCAGCGCGGAGGACGGTGCAGATGGGAGGCCCTGAAAGAGGCTTCGGGGCTCTAACCCCTCAGCTTCTGCCCAGCTCATGTGCCCTGGTGCACAATGGCAGGGGCAGGGCAGGGCCTCGGGCATAATGACCTGAATGGACAGAGGGCTAGGCTGCCAGGGGAGAGAGGCATGTCCCTGGAAGGGCCATACCAGGCAGAGAGTGAGGGGGCTTAGGGATCAGACTGTACAGGCTGGACTGGCAGGCCTGGGTCTCAGGTCAGGGCCACCCTTTTCCCAGGCTGTGCAGACGAGCCACAGCCTTGGAAGGGTCTAGTGGACACGTGTGGCTCTGCCTGCTGAAGGGTGTCTAGTGGTGCTGTCCCTGGGAAGACCCTGCCAGTCTTCCTCTATTTCTGAGCCAAGCTCTTGGCTGTCATCTCCCGTCTTTGTGGCTCCTAATTGTCCATAGCTGGGCCTGGGGTCTGCCGGGAAAGTTAGCCAAACCAAAGCCTGCCTCCCTGGGCACTAGGGAGGCCAAAGCCTTGGCTCTGAGGCCTGCTTCCTCCTCCCTGGAGTGGATGCAGACCAGCCTCAAGGGCTCCTCAAGACCCCCTGAGCTTCTGTCAGAACCTCTACCCTTCAGAGGACAGGGTGCTGGGTCCTGTCTCCCCTCCCAGGAGTGCACACCTATGGTGTATGTGCATACAGAGTGGTGTGTGTCTACATGTGTGCCCTGTAGCATGCAAGCACGTGTGCAGAACCTCCTGCGTCCCTGGGATCCCCCCAAGGGCTCCCTGAACGAGTGGCTGTTGTTGGTTTATCTGTGAGTTTGTCTCATGTACTTGTGCTGGCTGGTGTGTCCTTTGCCCAGATGTGTCTAGGTCTGCCTGTGATTTGTGTGTCGTGAGGGAGGGACCATGTGACCCTGTGCTTGTTACCCAGGTGTGTCCCATCTGATGCTCCTTCCTATGGGTTAGATGACATGGATGTGTGGGACCCAAGGCTGTCTTGGCTGCTTTACATGTGTTCACTGCGTGTGTGGCTGTGGGCTAGGGTGTCTGATGGTTGGTGGGAGTTTTTGGGTGGGTCTGTTGGCTAGGGTTTGTGTGTAGGGGCAAGGAAGCTGTGTCTGTGTCTTGCTGTAGTTTTCCAGGCCTGTAACACGTGTCAGCAGGCAGGTGTATGCAGCTGGGTGTGTCTCCTGGCTGTGACTTGTGATGCTTGCTATGCTCTGTCTGATTGTGGCCTGGCTGCCTCTGGTGTATACAAACATCCCTCGGGCTCGGTCCAGTTTCAGTCACCCACGTAAGGCCCCTCATCCCTCCAGCAGGGCAGGCCTTAAGGAGTGGGGTTGGGGTAGGTGGAGCGGCCCTTCCATCAGATATCCCACCCTTCATCTCTCCCAGAATAAGCCGCCTCTTCAATGGCACTGAGCCCATCGTCCTGGACAGTTTGAAGCAACACTATTTCATTGACCGGGATGGGGAGATTTTCCGCTATGTCCTGAGCTTCCTGCGGACGTCAAAACTGCTGCTCCCAGATGACTTCAAGGTAAGTCTGTAGCCGGTGGCACCCCTGCTGCCTGTATGGTGGCATTACACAGGGGACGCTGTGACTTAATAAGTGGACCCGCGGTCGTCATAGCAACCATAAAAAGTTAAGCGATGAAGCCAAGGGCTAAATCAGTTTTTCTAAACTAATTTTGTTTTCTCACGTTTTTAGCTTATTTCTCAGGGTGTGACAGCAGTTAAGCAGTGGCACTTACCCTGGTTTCACATTTGTCGTGTTGAAGACTTGTGTGTGGGAGTTACAGGAGTTAGCGGTTCCTAGATCTGTTTCTTGGTGGCCGTTTGCAGGGAGGAAACCCGGATCCAAAGCAAACACCCTTCAAACAAAAGGTGACCCGTCCAGGTCCCGAGAATCCTGCCTGGGTGCCAGTCCCCTTTGTGGCCCCGGGGACCTGGAGGAAGGAAACTCAGGCCTGGGCCACCCCACTCAGCAGCAAGTGGCCTTTCTTCCTTCTGGCACCCAGAGGACCAGTCACCCCGGGACTGTTTTGTCCTCCATCCAACTTAGTTCCTGGGTCCCAACAACTGAACTTACTGGTAGGCTGAAAATACAGTGCAACAAGGCAGATGCGGGTCCTGTCCCCATAGCACTTAAGATGTGGTGGGAAGACAGATGTTGAACAAAAAACACTTGAATTCCACAGAATTCCAATTCAGAGAAGGAGTCGGGGAGGATGTTTCTCTGGGAGGTGAAGGAGGAAGGTGTGAGGGCCTTGGTGAGGAGGCAAGGAGGCAAGGACCGTCCTGACTGGGAGAGAAGGTGTTAGCCTGAGGCTGTGTGAACTGGGAGGCCAGGAAGGGAGGCTGCTGGTTGATGTGAGGACCTTGGTGGCTGGCTCAACATTTGTAGGGAGCAAGAGGCCAAGAGGGGTTATTTGAAGGCTTTGGACCAGGGTGGAGGCAGCGAAGAGGGAGCTAAGAGGCAGGTTAGACATATTTAAGAAAGGCTATGGGTGGGGGGTGGGGGGCTCTCGAGGGTGCCTCCCGGCCTGTAGCTTCTGTCTGAGTGGATGGTGGAGGCCCAGCAGGGGAACAGGCTGGGGGGAGTGTGGCACCCAGCTCCTGCATGGAATTGCTGGTGGGACGTTGGGTGAAGGCGTCTGGGCTGGGGAAAGATGTGGGAGCTGTTTGCTGTGCAGATATCACTTCGGAGCAGATGAGAGCAGGAGCCCGGGTGGGGCTGAGGAACCCTGTGGAGGGATAGAATGGGTTCCCCGACAGGCCTCCCTCAGGGTGGTCCCAAAGGCCGGGGCCAGCAGATGCCAGGTAGGCTCTGCTTGGTGTCCGGCTTCCTTGCCTCTCCCCCAGGGGTCCTCAGGTTCACCAGTTGACCTTGATCTGAGCCCCATTGAGTGGCATGAGTCATGGGCACTCTCGGCTACACAGGGCTGGGGCAGGTGTGGGTGACCAGGTGTTTGAGGGGTAGTTGATGTGAGCCCGTCGTCCTGGGAGGGGGCTGCCTGCCTGGTGAGAGATGGGCTCCCCGCCCCAGCCCCTCCTCACACAGCTGCTAGTTCAAGGGCCGGCCAGGCACTTGGCAGATCTTGTCCTTTACAAAGCCCGTCCCCTTCTCTGAACTGGGTGTCTACATGCATTTTATAGAAGGGAAAACAGGCTCAGAGAAGCTCAGTTACAGATGATCAGAGGCTTCGGGGCTAGCACATGAGGATGCGAAAATCCAGCCTTGGCAGATCTGTTTTGCCTCCCTGCTGGGCCCTGTGCTCTTTCAGGGCAGGTGAGCTCCTCCCCTCTGGGATTCTGAGAAGCAGCAGGTCCCAGGCATAGACAGAGCCTCAGGCTCCTCTCGTCTAGCCTCCTGGTCTTTCCAGAGGCTTCTCTCGACTTCGGGGTGGTGATGGTGCAGGGGGGCGAGGGGCGGGGGGAGGATGAAACCTGCCTGAGTGCTTGGGCCAGATGGAAGGACTCAGGGGGTCTGGCACAGATGCACACCAGTCGCTGCCCATGGGACAAGGCTAGACTCCTTGTGCTTGCACACATTCACTTGAGCCTCATTTTCTCCATCTGTACAATGGGCACAATCATCCCAGTTCACATTGTGCCCTGGGGGAGTGGGGTCACAGTTCTGTGGAATGGTGAGAGGAGGCCCTCCTGGCATTGGAAAAGGCAGTCCCCCACCTCCCTCCATCCTGTCTGCTGTTCCTGCAGGACTTCAGCCTGCTGTACGAGGAGGCGCGCTACTACCAGCTGCAGCCCATGGTGCGGGAGCTGGAGCGCTGGCAGCAGGAGCAAGAGCAGCGGCGCCGCAGCAGGGCCTGTGACTGCCTGGTGGTGCGGGTCACGCCGGACCTGGGTGAGCGGATTGCGCTCAGCGGCGAGAAGGCCCTCATCGAGGAGGTCTTCCCAGAGACCGGGGACGTCATGTGCAACTCCGTCAACGCTGGCTGGAACCAGGACCCCACACACGTCATCCGCTTCCCGCTTAACGGCTACTGCCGGCTCAACTCGGTGCAGGTGAGGGCTGCGCCTGCCCCACTGGCCTCCCCCCCCCCCCCCCCCCGCCTCCCCCAAAGCCTCTGGCAGCAGAGAGAGATGGAGGGAGGCGCGGTCCCTGAAATGGCGAATCCCTCCTGCCATCTCACAGAAAAGGCAACAATGTATGGATGCATAATTTATGTCCTGCTCATAATTAAATGATGGCGCCTGAGGGATGGACTTAAAAAAATTGATCTGTACTCTTTTTTTTTTTGCAAAAGGATGTTCTATAAAAAATGTCCAGAGTACTTTCAACAAAGTGTGCTTCATTTGACACCGAGTCTGAGTTTGGATTCAGATTAAACCCAGACAACAGGAGCGGCAGGTCAGAGGCGGAGCGTGGAGGTGGCCTGGAGCCCCTTCCTCTCCCTCCTGACCCGGCCACAGGCACCCCGTTGGCTGCCCAGAGTGATTCTGGACTGGCTTTCCCTAGATGGGCCTTAGAAGCCCAAGATGGAGTGGGGACCATTTCCCACCAGCTCTTCCAGACCCAAGAGCACACCCCCGTTTCAGGTTGGGGGCAGAGTAGGGACTTTGTAGGGAAGGTGCCCCCCATGCACACATTCCACAGGCTGTCATTCAGAACTTGCTGGTTGCAGGACACAGGTGTCAGACAGTGACTACTAGACCCAACCCGCACAGAGGCACAAACCCATGTGGACTCGGAGGCCTGCAGAGACGCAAACACAGAGAGGACGCCTCCTCTCCACCCCAGCTCCCGTGAGCTGATGCGCCCCCAGGCCTCAAACCATCTGGGACTCGAAGCTCAGGGAAGCAGGTGGCTGCCCAGAGGCCAGGGGCAGGGTCTCTCTGTAAGTGAGGCAGGTCTCAGTGAGGAGGGGCCCTGGGACCACATGTCCAGAGCGAAGGGCAGGTTACATCCGAGAAGAGGCAGGGGCCCCAGAGGCTCTTGCTTCCGCCCTGAACCAGGCTGTGGACACTGCAGGCTGTAGCTCAGAGTAGCCACTCGGATTTGGTCACGGGAGGTGTTAACAGAAGGTGGCTGCCCAGGCGAGGGCCCAGCTGCCCACCAGGCCAGCCGGGCAGATTTGCAGCTGGGCATTGCTGACTCCTGTTTCTTCCCGGCAGGTCCTGGAGAGGCTGTTCCAGCGGGGTTTCAGCGTGGCTGCGTCCTGCGGGGGTGGCGTGGACTCCTCCCAGTTCAGCGAGTATGTGCTTTGCCGGGAGGAGCGACGACCACAGCCCACCCCCACCGCTGTCCGGATAAAGCAGGAGCCGCTGGACTAGGCCCTGCCTCCGTGCCCACCTGAGGCCCCTGGCCCTGGGGACGGCCAGGGACCTGCGGACAGTGCTGGGGAGTGCTGCCTATACCTGCTTCTCGATCTTCATGAGACTGAGGGTGAGGCTGGGGGTTCCGAGGCCAGCCCAGGGAGCCCCAGGACCCAGGTGTCTTGCAACAGAATGGGGTGCTGGAGGCATGTTTTCCAAAGGATTGGTGTGACCCAAAGATGCCTCGGTGGGAACTCTGCCACCAGTTTCCCGGTGCCCCTGGGCTCCCCAGCCTGGCGCAGTGTCCTCCAAGGCCCTGGGGCCTGCCATGGCAGAGTCGGCACTGGCCTCCACAGCCCACTGCAGAGGAGCTCTTCGTCCTTCTCCACATGTGGCAGACTCCAGTGGGTCTCTGCATCAGAGATGGCTTATTTTTCTACAGTATTTAAAACAGAAGCAACTGTAACTGCACAAGCCAGAGAGGCCAACAAGGACCAACACTTCTTTATCTGGTGCTTCATTCTCAGTCAGACGTGCGCATGCCCACCCGCATGGTGGGAGAGTGGCCTGGCGCTCCGTCCCAAGTGTCCAGGAGTGGGGCTGGGGGAGCTCTGGTCCCTGCTCTAGGGGCATGCAGGGAGGGCAGTGCTGTCGGAGCTGAAGCAGGGCCCCCAGGGAGCAGGGCTGCTGGGAGGAGGGTGGTTTGGGTGTGGGGGATGGATGGCTGTGGAATCACCTGAGACCCTCACCTTTGCTGTCACCTGGGCCACACTTGGTAGATCACCTGACCTAAGCCCAGGGGCTTCCAGTCCGGTTGTGTGTCCCCCTGGGGCCTCGGAGGAGTCTCTTCCCATCCAGACCATCCCCAGGGCCACAGGGCATCCTTACCTCAGGAATGGGCCCCTCGGTGAAGGGGCCCACCTGCCAGTAGCATCCTCTGGGTCCCCACCTCAGGAAGCTGTCCCCAGCTCTGATTTTCCCACACTAATATGCACACTGAATTTTAATGAAATTTGTTATACTAGCTTGCCAGTAAGACCTGGACATGGGCATACCTGGGACTCTTGCCCCAGATTCCAACAAGGACTGGCCCCTCGGGGTCCTCACAGACCTGCTGCCTCTTAGGCCCAATGACGGACACCCCAGCCTTGTCATACTTGGCCGAGCTGGCTCTTCCCGGGCGGAGAAACCGCAGACCACTGCTCGGTGGATGGGATGCCCAGCCACCCTGCATATAATGCCTGTAGACTTACTTGTATATGACTCCTTTAATATTGTAAAGATGATGATGTACAATTGTCGTGTTTGTGTGAACACATGATGTTCCTAGTTCATGCCATAAACGATGCTATAAAGCAAAAGACTGAGGCTCCGTCCTGTGCAGAAGCAGCAGTGGATTCCCGCGTTGGATGTTGTGCAGGGGTGCAGGGGGTTGGGGTCCTCCCTCTGTTACTTCAATTCAGATCAAGGAAGAACCGCCAGTGCTCTCGGGGGAGGGGCAAGGTCCCAAGCTGGCCGTTGGTCATGATTGCGTGTGGGTGTTTTCTCACGTGCCTGTCCCCTGCGGGCAGCACAGTCTGCGTTCTCACTCACAGCCCCTAACCAGATGCAATGGGGAGGCCGACGGGAGGTGTCCGGGGGCTTTTGAACCCAGTCAAATGTTCGAGATTTTCATTCTCTCTGGCTTTTGGTTTCGGTTGACACGTCTTTAGAGCTCCACAGAATATAGCAGGAGAAGGTGACAGTCCAGAGCTCGGCCGCCAGGGGAGGTGCAGCCCCCGGCTGAGGAGGGTCAGGGCCAAGTGCCCCAGCGCAGCACAAGACTGGGTGCATCTGTTTCCAAGGGGAGGGGTTCGAAGGCATTCCCGGAGGCCTCCATTTAAAGGAGCCTTTTGTATTTTTCCTCAAAGCCCTCATGTTCTAACCCAGTGGTTCTCAACCTTCCTAATGCCGCGACCCTGTAATACAGTTGCTCATGTTGTGGTGACCCCCAACCATAAAATTATTTTCGTTGCTACTTCATAACTGTAATTTTGCTACTGTTATGAATCGTAATGTAAACATCTGATATGCAGGGTGTATTTAGGCGACCCCTGTGAAAGGGTCATTCGACCCCCAAAGGGGTCGTGACCCACAGGTTGAGAATCGCTGTTCTGACCCATGAGGGCCCTTTTACATGCCAGGTAAAGGCCACCAGCCTCGACCCTCCTGGAGGACGAGAGCACAGCTGCTTCCTGCCTGGGTTGCAAAGCAGACGCCATCCCACTGTACAATCTAATTTGCTGGACAGACTCGCTAGCCTTCCCCTTTGCTTAGCAACACGCCTCCGGTTGGCACATCTGCATTTTGGCATCGGAGGTTCACATCTGAGAGGAGGAGAAAGTTGTGTTTATTAGAAAGGAAGTCTTGTGAAAACAGCTCATTGCGACGTATGTTCATGGATTTTTCTGGAATGATAGTCAGCATGGTTACTGGCGGAGATGCCCTAACATTTCTAAGCAAACGAGGTTTTTGACCAAACCATGGTGCTTAAAAAAAAAAAAAAAAAAAGTACCTTACTGAATGTTACTCTTAATTTATTTCTTCTTTCCTAAGTAAAATCAGGAAGTACGATTTTACATAAACTGGGGAATTTCTGCATTTGTAGAGAAACACTATGCTCCCATAGTAATGCTTAAAATTCTAATATACACAGTCCCCTAAACAATAAGTACCAATGTTCAGTTCCTTTAAAGCATTTACATATTTCCTGGAATGAATATATTGTAAGTACTCTTTTGATCAAATACCAGCAGTACAAATGTTAACTTCTGCTCTTTGTAAACCTCTAAAGTAATTATTTTTTTAAGCAACTGGACAGAGCTGTTCGACACCTCCCGGTTCCCGAGGAACCTCGGCCCGTGTGGGGGAGGCCTTTGCAGCAGGTGGCTTCTGCTGCTGCCCAGCTCACATGGGCTCGAAGCCAGGTCACAGCATCAATAATACCTTTTAAAAAGTGTTGTTTTTTTTTAAAAAAAACACACACACAAAAAAACCACACCACTTGACCATGTTCCTTAGAATAAATAAAGGATGTTTTATAAGTTACACGTGCAGATCTAGCACTTTGTTTCTGAGGCAGCCACAAGAAGGAACTCTGGCTTGGATGATTCCTGAGCCACCACTCCCACTTGGCTTGGCCACTGAATAGGACCTTGAGTAGCTCAGGTTCCCAATACTGAACCTTCCTGATCTGAGGAGCTGCTGTGGAGGGCTAGACCCTGAGCCTGGTCCCCAGGATCCTAGCATGCACTCTGCCGGGAGTGGGGGCCATGCAGGCACAGACTTCCTGACTCTTCACCTCTCCTGAACCCCTAACCTGGATTCCTGTGTTCAGGGTGGGTTGGGCCTTCTGCACTATGGATTGTGTGTGTGTGCCAAACCACTACACTTGAAAAAGGAGCAAAGAGCCCTGACCGGTTTGGCTCAGTGGATAGAGCGTCAGCCTGTGGACTGAAGGGTCCCAGGTTCGATTCCGGTCAAGGGCATGTATCTTGGTTGCGGGCACATCCCCAGTAGGGAGTGTGCAGGAGGCAGCTGATCGATGTTTCTCTCTCATCGATGTTTCTAACTCTCTATCCCTCTCCCTTCCTCTCTGTAAAAAATCAATAAAATATATTTAAAAAAAGAAAAAGGAGCAAAGAAGGATGGATGTGAGAAAATGGGGATGTAGTTTCCATTGAGCCCATGACTAAGGAAAGACTCATTTGGCCAAGCCCAGCAGAGCCAATGATGGCCCCATCTGATTGGGCCTGTTCCCTCTTGATCCTCCGGAGACAAAAGCAGCTGCAGTGTCCCTGAAGGACCCTCTAGGACATACAAGATTGCAGTTTCTCTGAAGTAGATGATAAGGTAAAACATAAAAAATGGGGGTTACCAGAGGATTTTTAGTTCTAGGCAGGGTGCTTGGTTCAACCCAGTAGGGGCCTCTAGACAGAGCAGGAGGGACAAGAGTTGGCCAGAGAGGGCAGCTGCTGGCCTTGAGCCTGGCACCGAGGCTGATGTGTGGTGTTGTGATGTCACAGTGTGATGGAGACGGAGGCCTATAAGGTAGCCCTTTGTGGACCAAGAGAAAGAAAAAGGTATTGGTGGCAGCTAAGGGCAGCTTCCTGCCGGGAGCAAGACTAGCAGTGATGTTCTCCTAGAAGCGTCTGAGTTTTGTGACGGGACCTAAATGGAATGCAGCCCCAGTGAGGGGTGAGGGTCAGAAAGGAGGGCTGGCCAGGAGCCTTCCCTGGGCTCACAGCCCCCGCTTCCGTCCCTGCCCTCACATCTCGACAGGTCCAGGGCATTTCTCGGGAAAGGAGAGCCCAGCCTTTGGGCAGCCCCTACCCCTCGCTCCCCGGTGATCTTGTTTGGGACACTAGGTGGCAGCCCCACAGCTGGACAATCAAGACACCTGCCTGACCCTTGATAAGCTCTCCAAGCCTTAGCAGTGGTTCTCAACCTTCTGGCCCTTTAAATACAGTTCCTCATGTTGTGACCCAACCATAAAATTATTTTCGTTGCTACTTCATAACTGTCATGTTGCTACTGTTGTGAATCGTAATGTAAATATCTGATATGCAGGATGGTCTTAGGCGACCCCTGTGAAAGGGTCGTTCGACCGCCAAAGGGGTCGCGACCCACAGGTTGAGAACCGCTGCCTTAGAGCCACAGGCAGCGTGGGGTCCCTCGAGGGCAGGGCCTCCTGCAGATGTGTCGCCAAGCACTGCTGCCCGCCGGTTGGTGTTTGTCCACAGGGTGGTGGTGTTTCTAATCCCACCCTCCTCTCAGTGGAAGGATGTCTTGTACAGAATGTGTGTGATGTTAGGGTCATGTGACTTTGACCTGATGTGGCCATGGAGGCTTTGGACGTCCATTATCCAAAGGGTCCCTGCTTACTGCAAGATCCTTGTCCGCCCAACCACCCAGGGAGGGCCTTGGATTGATGGCAGTATGTGCCAACCTCCGCAGGCATGTGGGTGACAAGACCGCCCGTGAGACTGAGAAGACACTTGTTTATCGGCAAGAACAGTTTCCTTGAGGTGCTAAAGTTACCTGGCAGAGAAACTTCCATGTAACGTCCAGCATGGATTACCCCCGCGTTCCTTGGCTTGAACATGGAGCTAACAACCTCTCGGGCCTCAGTGTCGACATCTCCACGGTGAACCAGGCTTCTCTGAAAACCCAGTGAGAGACCCAAGGAACAGGCAGGCACAAGCCGGGAAACAAGCGTGAGGGGTGGAGGTCAGCGGCACTTGGATTCTTGCCTTTATTTCCATTACACAGAGCAGCCGGTTCTGCCAGCCCTCTCAGCCTGTCCCCGTGCTGGACCAGGATCATGGCTCGGGAGCGGTAGCAGGTGGACCACCTCACACAGACATCGCAAACCAGGACCAAGTGTTAGAGTGCAGGGGCAAGCGGAGGGGCCCCTTGAGGATGCCCTCAGGAGCACCCAGGCCCCCACATCCCTGGCTGGATGAGCAGGAGGTGCCACCTGCCACTGGCTCGAGCCGTTCCCAGCCACGCCTGCTCCTCCAAGCCCACGTCTAGCATGTCACCAGAGCTTCCTCCTCTGTGTCCTGGACCCGGTCCAGGACTGCTGAGGGAGCTGTGGTTTGGGGCGCACAGTCTGTACCAGCAGGGTGGGGCGGCAGCTCCCACTCTGGACGCGGGCCACGCCCTCTTGGACGCTAACACACCCCCATTTCCCGGGGCCCACAGAGACACGCCTGGCCCTGCAGCCAAACAGCAGGAAGGCAGATTGGTGCGAGTATGTACAAGGTCCTGGAATTCTTGCCCGGTTGCCACACAGTATTCGGAACATAATTGGGGGAGGTTGTGCAACTGCCCTGCCGAGAAGCTGGGCGCGCTGCGGGAGCTCTCAGCACAGGCGTCCAGGGAGCCTTGGGACGGAGCCAGAGCCCTGGGACATTGCCACCTTTGGGTGGCAGTGATGGCCTCACCCTGACGGAGGGCAGTGTGGCTCTGCTGAGAGCTGAAGAGCCCAGGTCCCTGTGGGGCCAATGGGAGTGAGTGTGGGGCAGAGAGGACCCTGCCCACAGCAACAGCCCCACCTGGCAGTGCCCTCTGAGCTCAGGGCCACCCCCAAGGTGGCCCTGAGCGCACACCAGCTCCTTAGGGATGCACACAGGGGACAGCGCTAGAGGGAGCCCCACCCAACGAAGACAAGGAACTCACAGCCCCTTCCCCTCCCCATGGGGCCTGTGCTTGGGCAGCTGGGCTGCATTCTTGGTCCCCCTGAGCTCCCATGGGTGGATCCATCGAGGGGCCCAGTGAGTCACTTCCCCAGGCCCAGAGGCCTTAGTCAAAGGTGCCTCC